AATACTTCTTAGATAAAAAATTAGGTGATCCAAAAAGTGCCTTTAAGAACAGATGATACAAACAAATTTTTTCTTTGAAAAAGATTTAATATCATGTCACAAGTTTAGAAATGTGGATGGTTAAGAATTTTTTCTCTTAAGAACTGGAATATGACAAAAAAGAATTTGAAAATATTAGTAATATTTCAATGAAAAAAACAAATATAGACAAATCACATTCAGTAAAGGTTTACAGGTGAAAACAATTTTCAGAATATGTTAACATGGTGCTTAAAGTATAATATAAACTTAAGAAAAATATACCAAGCCAGGTGAATTTTATGAGGAAAAGCTAACAGTTAAAAATCAGCCTATGTGATATTGCTAATTTTTTTTCATTTTGATCTTCCTCTTAAAATTCACCTGGCTTGGTATATTTTTTTAAAGTTTATATTACACTTTTAGCACCAAGATAACATATTCTGAATTTTTTTTCACCTGTAAACCTTTACTGAATGTGATTTGTCTATATTTGATATTTTCCAAGTCTATTTCATTTTCCAGTACTTCAGAGAAAAAATTCCAAGAACCATCGACTTTTCTAAACTTGTGACATGATATTAAATCTTTTTCAAAGAAAAAAAATTGTTTGTATCATCTGTCCTTAAAGAAATCAATCTTTTAAAAAAAATTAAGAAAATGTAGTACCTTCCAAAATAAAACAGCAAAAATATGGTGTTTATGCTCCGTTGCCAATCAACAGGTTGTGGTCCCTTACCCAATGTGAGTGCTGGTACCGGCGAGTGGGCGTGTCCTAAGGGGGTATCGGTGTCCTCAGTGCCAGTGTATGTGTCCTGTCTATTTCAATGTTTCAATGGTGCTACCGTCAAAATCAGATGTACTGAAAAACTAAAGTGGAACAACACTTTACAGTCTGGTGTCTGTTCTTCACTTGGTATGCTTTTCTTTCCAAGCATTTCTAATCTTTATTTATAACATACGAATAGCGTACTAGTATTGATAAAACATATTTCACATATTTTTTTTTAGCTCTGAGAGTTGAGAACATTGATTCACCATCGAAAAATTTGCACTTGGAAATAATAGTGCCAATAGCGTGTCTCCTCCTTATATTTTTCACTCTCCTCATTGTGCAACGACGTTTGTACAAGAAATGCCCAAATCTGATGAAAAGAATATGTGACTCTCCAGATACAGACGATGCTTTAAATGATACTGAACTGCCTGTTGTTCTGGGGTGCGAGATAGAACCTGGAAGTCAAAAGTGTCCGGAAACAAACCAGATAGCAAACAGAACCCATGATGTCCAACTCCAGAAAGATGCCTCGGATCAAAATGATCTAAATTCAAACCCTCACAGGACTTAAATAGAGGAGTGATTCTTCCAGCAATGTCCCTTTGGAAACAATGATCTCTGAAGCCAGTGGTCGATACAGTGACTGTAATTATAGTCAGGATACTAATACCTCAATTATACAGAACGATTTGCAGGATGATTCTCAATATTTTCCATCCCTCTCATCATTTTCAACTTCTAATGTCAACTCCATACCTCCAAAAACAGACTCACTCAGAAGTGAACAGCTCGAAGAGAATGTGGCATTCTTCAAGTACCCTCCAGAAAGAGCCAATTCTATTAAACCAGGTATTTTCATGAATACTTCACATTGGTGTTGTCCTAGTCATACAATCTTGTTTCGTTATTTTTCTGTCTATGTATAGCTCGTCTTCTATTAGAAAGGGTTCGAGATATGGTATTAGCAAAGATTTCTATGTTTTACATGCTTATTATATCAAACATTTGCAATGCAAGTCTATTTTGAATTGAATTTAGTTATATAAATGAGTATAATTTTTTTTTATTTAGATCCCTGTCCAACGGTAGCCGCGGTGCTGGACGGTGCTTTGGAAAACAGTGTCCAATTTGTAGATGATCTGTCAACATTACTCGATCTAGATAAACAATATAAAAGTATTTCCACCTGGCAAGGACTAGCTCAGGAATTATTCCGTCTTCCTTACAGCAAAATTGATGAAAAAAGGGGTAAGTACCAAGTGTAAGTAGGTAGCAATTTTACAGAACTTATAGATTTTTACTCTTAAGTTACTTGCTTTTGTTTCAGATACAAAACAAAAGACCATTTCAAAGAGGGGGTTTTGCCCTTGCTAAGCTCTCATGGATACACTATCTACGACATGACTTCTTATTTCTACCCTGAACCGTCACGGCGAGTTGACTCATGAGTGTATTAGGCGATATCATCCAAACTGTCAGAAATGTGGAGAAATCTACAAAAATCTCAAACTTGGAAAGTTGTCAAAAGTATCATAACTCAGGAAATTATCAAAAACTATAAATTATATGTTCTTTCATATAAATTACAATATTTATTTATATATTTCCATATATATATATATATATATATATATATATATATATATATATATATATATATATATATATATATATATATAAAGCACTAAAAATGACCAACGACACGAACAATAGAAATTGTCAAATTTTCGGGACGCCCTGTCCCTTCCTCAGGACAAAGAAAAAAGTTAAAAAGTCATAAGAACAAAGGAAAAAGAGAAACAAAAACAACTAGCACTACTACTAAACTACTAAACACTAGATATTTACATACTTAATTACATGATGAATTGGAAATTTTTAAAAACACTAATAAAGAAAGAAATCCGGACCGCTATGAAATGCGTCCGGTCTATCGGGTATACTCGGGCGAAGTGCGATTTACATAATTGAACGAATTAATTATGCTAATTAATTACGACAATCAGTAAATCGTACATTGTTTATTTCTCAAAATGGCGTAACTTTACTTAATAAAGAATAATCGAAGAAAAATAATATAGCAGGGATATTTAAACATATGAATTATGATCAATTATAAATTTTGAAATATTTAAGGACTTATTACCGGGAAAAAAATAATTAACAAAGGTGTAAGCAATACATAGTTATGAGAGTTGTTCGAGAGTTGGTGACGCAAATTAACTGTAGAGTTTACACTAAATTGAGAGAATAATCTTGTTTAGTATCATCAGGAATTGGGTCTAGTTTACGTTCATTCTGGTAAAGTCATTCAGTTTGTTAATACCATTAGGGCGGAATGACTTCAATCTGTGCATCCAGAACTTTTCTTTGCTTTTTCTCTGAGCATCTGTCCATCTTGGGTTATGGTCAATCACCACTACTGTCATGTCCTCCCATTTGTGACCCTCAAGGTTGAAATGTTCCCCAACGGGTTCATTGAGTTTTTAAGTCCAAATTGTCAAACGATGGTTATTGACTCTCCTGTGGAACGAAATCTCCTGTTTCACCAATATACTGTTTGGAGCAAACTTTGCAACTGATGAGATAAATGCAGTTTCCAGTATGACAGGACAAATTCCCTAGTATTTTGTAGCTGCGGCCTGTAACAGGGCTGTTAAAACTGTCTGTGTCAGTGCTGTGCTTACAAAGAAGACATCTTCTGTCAGAGCAAGTTTTAAAGCCCCCGTTAGGTAATGGGTTGTCCATTCTGGTTCTTACTACCATGTCCTTTAGGTTCCTTGGGCGTCTGTATGCAGCCAATGGGGGTTCCTTAAAGACCTCTGCCATTCGTTTGTTTGAATGGAGAATTGGTAGGTTCTTTTGAAGGATACCGCTAAGGTTCTTAAGGACGGGATGGTATGTGGTTACCAGAGGGACCTGCCGCTATTGTCTTTCTCCTTGTAGCGTAATAGGTTTTGCCTGTCATGTCCCGCCATCTCATCAATAGCTGTTTGTACGGTGCGGGCATTGTAGCCTCTTTTGCATAAGTGGGACTTAAGAAGACCACTTTGCTCCTGATATAAGGCAGGGGACGAACAGATGCGTCGAATTCTGGTGGCTAGACCCTTAGGCACTCCCTTAAAAGTGTGTGGGGGATGACAGCTAGAGGGCATAAGATATAGGTGGGAGTCTGTGGGTTTGGTGTGGAGACTGAATTCGATTTCACCATCAATCAGGGTAGATGTATTCTAGGAATACGTTTTTCGAATTAGATACGTCTACTGTAAATTTGATCGATTGATGAAAGGTGTTGGCAAACGTAATGAATGCCTCGAGGCTCTCGCGACATTCCACCCACTTCATCTCAATATCGTCTATGAAACGCAACCAGCTATGGGGCCTAAATGGTGCTTGAAGTAACAACCCACAGACTCCCACCTATATCTTATGCCCTCTAGCTGTCATCCCCCACACACTTTTAAGGGAGTGCCTAAGGGTCTAGCCACCAGAATTCGACGCATCTGTTCGTCCCCTGCCTTATATCAGGAGCAAAGTGGTCTTCTTAAGTCCCACTTATGCAAAAGAGGCTACATGCCCCACGTACAAACAGCTATTGATGAGATGGCGGGACATGACAGGCAAAACCTATTACGCTACAAGGAGAAAGACAATAGCGGCAGGGTCCCTCGGTAACCACATACCATCCCGTCCTTAAGAACCTTAGCGGTATCCTTCAAAAGAACCTGTCAATTCTCCATTCAAACAAACAAACGGCAGAGGTCTTTAAGGAACCCCCATTGCTCATACAGAAAAGCCCAAGGAACCTAAAGGACATGGTAGTAAGAACCAGACTGGACAACCCATTACCTAACGGGGGCTTTAAAACTTGCTCTGACAGAAGATTCTTCTTGTAAGCACAGCACTGACACAGACAGTTTTAACAGCCCTGTTACAGGCCGCAGCTACAAAATACTAGGGAATTTGTCCTGTCATACTGAAAACTGCATTTATCTCATCAGTTGCAAAGTTTGCTCCAAACAGTATATTGGTGAAACAGGAGATCTCCGCAGGAGAGTCAATAACCACCGTTCGACCATTAGGACCAAAAAACTCAATGAACCCGTTGGGGAACAGTTCAACCTTGAGGGTCACAAAAGGGGGGACATGACAGTAGTGGTATTGACCATAACCCAAGATGGACAGATGCTCAGAGAAAAAGCAAAGAAAAGTTTATCACAGATTGAAGTCATTCCGCCCTAATGGTATTAACAAACTGAATGACTTTACCAGAATGAACGTAAACTAGACCCAATTCCTGATGATACTAAACAAGATTATTCTCTCAATTTAGTGTAAACTCTACAGTTAATTTGCGTCACCAACTCTCGAACAACTTCATAACTATGTATTGCTTACACCTTTGTTAATTATTTTTTTCCCGGTAATAAGTCCTTAAATATTTCAAAATTTATAATTGATATAATTCATATGTTTTTAAAAATTTCCCCGCTATATTATTTTTCTTCGATTATTCTTTATTAAGTAAAGTTACGCCATTTTGAAGAATGAAAAAATGTACGATTTACTGATTGTCGTAATTAATTAGCATAATTAATTCGTTCAGTTATGTAAATCGCACTTGCCGGTTTCCCGATAGACCGGACGCATTTCATAGCGGTCCCGGGTTTCTTTCTTTATTAGTGTTTTTAAAAATTTCCAATTCATCATGTAATTAAGTTGTAAATATCTAGTGTTTAGTAGTTTAGTAGTAGTGCTAGTTGTTTTTGTTTCTCTTTCCTTTTTTCTTATGACTTTTTAACTTTTTTCTTTGTCCTGAGGAAGGGCATCCCGAAAATTTGACAATTTCTATTGTTCGTGTCGTTGGTCATTTTTAGTGCTTTATATAAATTTCCATCCGTGACCTTGTATCTACTTGGTAGATCCGACATTTAGGATATACAGTGTTATTGGTTTTTTAGTGCTTTATATATATATATATATATATATATATATATATATATATATATATATATATATATATATATATATATCAGTATATATATATAATATATATATTTCCATATCCTTCTTATATATTATGCATTAAACATATTGACCAGTTCACCCGAAAATCGGCCAGTACAATAAACATTATACAAGTTTTCAAGAAATTGATCTTTTTTTAACGATAGACACAAGACTCCACTTATAAATGGCAAATGAGACAAGAAATTAAACTACAGACAAATGAAAGTTTCAAGGTCCAGTAACAGGAACCTATTGATTCTCATCCTCACAGCGTGTATGATTGGAAGCAAACATTATAATTTTCCAGGGTACATGACAAAAGGAACTAGAGGTACTGTGAGCAATGAGCTCACTAAGTGATACCCCCGTCTCCCATTTAAGTATAATGGCAGTGTCTATGTTTGCTGTGGGAAACCCAAAATATGATTGATTGATTGATTATATACTATTTAACGTCCCTCTCCAGAATATTTCACTGATATGGAGACGTTACCATTGCCTTTGAGCAGGGAGGGATCTTTATCGTGCCACACCTGCTGTGACACGGAGCCTCGGTTTATACGGTCTCCTCCGAAGGACCGCCCCATTTAGTCGCCTTTTACGACAGGCAAGGGGTACTGAGGACCTATTCTAACCCGGATCCCCACGTGTGTCGGATCAAAAAAGTAAAATAGGAGGTGCACAATAGCAATGTGCGATAAAAATTATGTAATAGTTTCATCAAATTTCTATCAATGGTATGAGAGGAAACGCGGATAAGAGATGGGTATACCCCAAAGCGTAACGACGGACGGCGGACATCCTTTTTATATACCCCCCCTTTTTCAAGGGGGGGGATAATAAAAGTACGAGATATATCTGATACAGATCTGATGCAAATAAACTATACATGCATTAATATACAAACGCGAATCTGGTAATAAAATCTAACGGGGGGTTTTTTTGGTTGTTTTCATTTTTTTTTTTTATTTTCTAGAAAAAGACATTAATAGATTAATGGTAACCTCACAGCCAAGCTCTGTAAAAAAGCGATGCCTTTAACTTTTCATTCGTCAATTCCCACTTATGCAGCAAATACCTTCATCACCTGCAAACGGGGTTAATTCGAGCATGCTCTATGTATTAATTTCTAAAAACGAGGTTAGCTATTGGCAAATAAGTTGACGAAAGAATAATGTAGCAGTCTCGTTTAAAATCATCATTTCATACGTTCTTCGGTCGATATAATGACCTTGTCA